TAATAGGGAAAAAACATTTCGAAGCAAAATCCTCGTAAATGATTCCAAGTAATGTCCTCGTAAATGGTTCTAGTAAGTTCCTCGTAATTTATTACTACGATCTTACGAGGAAAATCTTACTACGAGCTTACGAGGAAAGCCTACGAGGGCCTTACGAGGAAAAGCCCACCACGGCCTTACGAGGAAAAGTTTCCTCGTAAATTCGCTAGGACTTTACGAGGAAAAAGGCTTTACGATGAACGTGTTTCGAGGAAACGCGTTTCCTCGTAAGTTCCTAGTAAATGTCCATTTACTAGGAAATAACGAGGAAACCCCGTCCTAGTAACGGACGAGTTTTCTTGTAGTGTGTATGAAAGCAATATTGAAATTCTCACTTCTTGATTAAGGCGATATGAGAATGTATAGCGGAGAATATGCTTCAGCATGGTATATAGAAAGATACTTTTTCAACATTATACTTCATGGAAAGCTGATTATTCCATCAATTTTGGTGGTGATGCAGGATTTCGGCTAAGCTTACATTCTTAATCAGACGTTCCAGTCACAGGAAATGGGGGTTTTATGTCTTCTGATCTAATGCCAGGGCCACTTACTATTACTAGCTTATATTTCTGGCGGTTGCGCTGGTTGAAAAGCATTTTATGTGAACCCACCAACAAAGGATCTGATACCCGAGATTTAGTAGATTGTTTGTATAGTTAAGGTTTTGATGCATCGTATCTCTTTCAAATGTACAGTTTTGATTGTACGTGCAGAATACTCCACAAGGAGCAGTGTGATGGGTGAAATCTCATATGGGAAAGTGTCTTTCGACGATACAGAAGAGAAGAACCCAAAGGATAATCATGTTTCTTATCGGATCTCATATGTGGTTCCACCAAATAAGGTATTTAAAGAACTACCTTTTCTGGTCTTTTTTGTCTGTTAGAATTGGCTTGTGATACTTAATATAGTAATGCCACAGGGAAATCTGGCTACACAAGCTCATATTTTGTGTTTAGCTTAATTTATTTTCTTTCCTTGTATTCCAATTTTTTTTAACTTTTTCGTTAATTTGTTTTTTATACAATAGCCTGAGGTAGATAAGCAGGCAGGTTCTGATTCAAGTAGCTGTAAATCAGTTTCCAAACACTTGGAAAAAGAAGTATTATTCCCAGAAGCATGTTTCGGATTGGCACTTACTAAACGTTATGGTCAATTGATCTATTTTATAACTGATTCAAGTATGTTTTGGTAGATATTAGGGATAAGTTTTCTTTCTACTACTGTTTTACGAAAGATTTTCCTTGTAATCAGGTTCATGACACAAAGATCAAATTTCTTGGGAACCTAAAACAAGAAACTGAGGAAGATCATTCCGAATTGAGAAAGTTGTGTTCATGTCTCAAGGTTTGCGAGCTAAATGCTATTGTTTCGGTAGATGTCAAAGTAAACGATAGTGAAAAGAAAACATACCTAAGAAAACGTAAGGAGCTTGGACGATGATGATGATTTGACCTTCCTGAAGTCGTAGACTTCACCTCCAAGTAAGTATTCATATTGTTGTATTCAACAACCTAAATGTCTGATTATCTTATGCAAACATACATTCTCCATGCAGTTTGGGAGGTACATGGGTTTTCCCTCTTTAGATACCATGGAAGGGAATAAGAAAAAGGAAGTTGTGTCAATTGGAGATCGAAACATGTTTCTCTAACTTCAACGAGTAGGTATAAGCCAAGCTTTAATAATATATATTTTATTATAACTTAAAAATAGCAGCAATAAATGGCAAATTTGTTTTCTTTGTTTAGATATAGGAAACTGATTTCCTCTGTAAAGCTCAGATTGTTTTTGTATTCTCACAAAATGGATGATCTTTTATCTCATACAACGGATGCAACAAGAAATTGGTCACCGCTGTTTCAAGTTTCTTTTCTCTAGACAGGTACCAAAATATATTAACGGTAAACAAGAGGTTATGATCAGTTACTCAGATTCAAGGAAAGACGCTGGGCGTCTCTCTGCTTCTTGGGAGATATAAAAAGCTTAAGAAGAGCTTGTGAAGGTCTCTAAGCAATATGGAGTGAAGCCAACTATGTTTCAAGGCCATGGTGGCATATTTGGAAGAGGAGGTGGTCCCACTCATCATGCTATAGTGTCTTAGCCACCGGACACAGTTAATGGCTCACTCTGAGTGACAGTTGAAGGTGTAGTCATGGAGGAGTCATTGTATGACAAACTTCTTCTCTCGAAAGATTTATAGGCCTTTGGAGGGAAACTCACTACGTTTTGATTATTACAGTATACTTTATGTATCAACACCGGTGAGAAACATTTTATTCTTGCCAAAGAGAGAGAGAGAGATTAAGAGACACCATGGAGCTACTAAAACAACACCTTAAACCTACCAAGACCAAATGATAAAAGCTGTTTCTTATTACTTCCTACCTACCTAGCCGTACGGTGTGAATGTTGACCTTGCAACAACACAGTTGAACCACCAGCTTGAGTAACAAAGCTTGTTGGAAGGCTAGGGTTTGATCCATGAGTGGAAATGCATGAGCTTTGAATTAATGTCTATGAAGGCTGCATATGGGTTGATTGAACTAGAAAAGATGATGAGACAACACGTTGGTCCTGGTCTTGAATTACTCGAGGAACCATGAATTTGAGGATAAGATCCGCAGAAATGTCAATTTCCAGCTTGAAGTCTTCAATGAGTTCCATTATGTCCATCATTGTAGCAGCATCTCTGTTAGCTTCAGCCTGTAAGCCAACATAGTTTACAAATCTAAATATCAATGACAATATGCAGTTTAACAAGAAACGATTAGTCGAAACAAGCTTTAACCTGTGATTCATATCTTCTCTATTCCTTGACTGGGTATCTGAGATTGATGAACTTTTCCTTCAATAATACCAATGGAGAAAAAAAATTTCTCCATGTTGAAGTAAAACATAAACCGGATTGCCGGAAGATATAAGGCTTTGTTTAGGAGCTCTGTGACAAAATCTGCATAGATGAAAAGAGTACATCATGTGTTAAACGCGCACGCACACACACCCACACACACACACACACACACACAGGCAACAAATGCATTTTAGAAATACAACTTACTTGGGATGGCATCACTGAGACCAAGAGATTGGAAGAGCTTTGGAGCATGTCTGGAGTGAGCAACATGTGAGGCAAGTCGTAAAGTTTGATCTTGTTTAGTTAGCTTCCCCACCAATTCAAAAGCCACAACGAACTGCAGATAAGCCCAAGCCTCGAGCGGTGAATTTTCAACACTAGTAGCTCCCATCATCTTGAACCATCGATGTGACACTTTGGTTGCATCAACGTTGTTGGACCCAAAATCGGGCCCGTTAACTTGAGGTTCGTTAAAGAATTATACAAGCGAGTCCGCTGAGCGTTTGAGGAAGTACAACGAGAACAAGGCTAAGTTTAATGACCTCAATAAGGCCCATGCCCATGTCTTATCATCACGTCGTGATCAACGGACACCACGAGGTCAAAATGGGACCCCGAAGATCGCGGGAACAGTTAATTAGGAAGAAGACTATAAAAAGGAGCTGGCAGAGAGTACAACAGACACGAAAATCCCTAGAGCTATTCACTAATCACATCGACCTCACTCTATAGCTTTCAAGTTTGCTTATTGTTTCTTCTTTTCATTATTGTTTTTGATCTTGTTCATCACCTTGTAAACGAATTTCATATTCAATGAAAGTTCATTTTTGTCAACCGAATTCCGATTGTATCATTGTGTTTAAAAGCATCGTTGCCCACATCATTTGTCTTCCCCTGATTGAACTCTCAATCTCTACAAAATACTGAGTGTGGTTTTTAGGATCTACAAACGTGTAGATCAGGATTAGTAGGGATTACAACACGTGTCAGCTCCTCCAAAAGGGGAACCAAAGGCAGTAGTATAGGCTCTTCTAAACTCAACTCCTCTCTCTCACTAGCTTCCGTGAGTGCTTTCTCGACGTAAGTTATGGTTCAAACATTGGGAGTTGAGTAGAGACTATTATGGTTCTAGAACTTCCTTGATCCAAAGAAAATGTAAGGAATGCTTTAAGTTGAATAGAAATTACGGTTACAAGTCCCACTCTCAAGAGATTTAATTCTCTCTCTCTCTAACAATGATCATCCAACATGATAACTTCCTTACTCTTATCTACCTGAAACTTATATGACTAAGGCTCAGCACACACGCGTCACCAAATTATTAGAGACACTACATGTGCTCTTGTTTACTACTACTAGGTAATGCACACACTCATACCTCATTACAACGTACTACAACGTGTGACTCCAACACCCCATGTGCCTTTGTCTACAACCTTTTGTTCATTACTACCTTCTCGGATACTTCGTCCTCACACAAACTTGCTACCCACGTACTTCTCTTTTAATTGGATTCTTTAGTGAAATGGGTTTTCCTTCGTGCATACTAGTGAATGATCGGAGGTCGAAGAGTCTCATACGTATCAGAGACTTCATTCGGAAATAAAGAAGTTGAGTCCTCAATGTCCCTAAGAAAAGCATCTTCATTAGGCAAATGAGAAGCCACAATATTGTTGATTGGTGCTTCAGGCTTAACATCCAATGATAGCACATTGTTTATTGCAAAGAAAAAAAAACAATAATAATCATGTGACTAAAATACCTCCCTACTGTTATACTTTAAAAGGTCAACCGTTTTGAGACAGTTGTGCTTGTAGCAGAATCAGATATTTAAATTATATAAAAAAATGTTACTAGAGAGACAAGACAATTGTACCAGGTGGTATAGCTGATACTCCAAGAGAAATCCTAGCTGAAGCAAGTTGTACATTGTGTTCTTCAACCAACAACTTGAATGACTCACATTTTGCATTCCTTTCTTCAATTATTGTTTGTTCCCTCAATTCAGTGTCCAAACTAAGCACTTGCAATTCTTTCTCTTTTGAGACAAGTTCTGATGACTGTGTCTCAAACAGCATCTGTTGAGAATCTAGTTGTTCTTTTACCAATTCAAGCTGAGGCCCACATTCGCAATTTTATCAAGGACCGTTGTGAGATCATTCATCTTTATCTCGATCACCGCTTCCAATTCTTTACTATGCGCTTGAGTCCTTTCCCAATGTTTCTTCTCTTCGCTGACCTCATCACGACATCTCTCAAGATCAGTATCCATCTGTCTTGCATGTTCTCGATTACAATCAATCTCATCCTGAGTCTTAAACAGTTCTAAGGACCTTGTCTCAAGCAGATGCTCACATTCAACAAGCTTGTTCTGAACCAATGTGAGATCTTTTGTATTCCTCTCAACTTCCTCATCCAACTGTCTTCTATGAGTTTGAATTCTACGCAAACTCTCCATCTCTTCATTGACCTCATCACGACATCTCTCAAGATCAGCGTCCGTCTGTCTTACATGTTCTCGATTACAAACAAGCTCATCATGAGTCTTAAACAGTTCTAAGGACCTTGTCTAAAGCAGATGCTCACATTCCACAAGCTTGTTCTGAACCAATGTGAGATCTTTTGTCTTCCTCTCAACTTCCTCATCCAACTGTCTCCTGTGAGTTTGAATTCTATGCAAACTCGTCATCTCTTCACTGACCTCATCACGAGATCTCTCAAGATTAGTCACCATCTTTGCTAGCTCTTCACCATTCAAACCAAGCTTAACATGAGTCTTTCTCCACGATTCCACCATCTCACTAAGCTGACTTTCCTTTAACATTCTCTCTGCCTCACACTCTTCTACCAATGTCCTAAGCTGAGACAGTCTCACTTCCTCTACATTAGACTCATCTCGAGAAATCTCCACCTGATTCTTAAGAAAGTTAAGTTCTTTCCTCTTTCCTTCAACTTCTAAACAAACCCTCTCAGATTTCACCTCTAAATCAGCAAGCCGACCTTCTGCTTCTTCAACCACTTTTGCCATTTCCTCAAGTGCAAAGGTTTGATCTTTCAACTCCACCTCCTTGGAATCTAACTCCCTGAACCGCTCGTTTACTTGCCCTTTGACGGATTCCAAATACTCATCTAGATCTTTCCACTGAACACTGAAGGAGGAATGAGCGGTAACCCTATTCAGGGTTTCACGAAGACATTTAGCCTTCACCATACAGTCGTTCAACACATCTTCCATCTTTATCTCATCCATCACCGAAGAGTTTCCAGAAACAGCAAAAAAATCCAACGGGAGAAGAAAACCTAAGTACCCTTCAGGCCAAATCTCAGCCAAAGTTTCGAACTTGAGGAAGATATAAGCAGAAGCAACACAAACCCTAAAACAACAAATTTTCCTTACAAAACGGAAAATAATGAAAATGAATTATAAAGGAAAGATTTTTAGATGAAAAAAATAAGAGAAGAGTGTTTGTATTAAAACCGAAGAGTCTAAATGAGAAAGAAGAGTGTCTGTAAAAGAGAAAGTAAGAACCTTTGTCGGCTTTATGAGGACGACGAGCATCAACAACGGTGTCTCTTTTTCTTCCTCTCTAACAGTTTTAATAGAGACACGTTAACTTTCCCTATTTCTTTGTTTTTCTATATAAAAAGTGTAAGTGTGTAGAGATGACAATGGGCCTAGCCCGTAAAGAACTCTCATAGGACGGTATTGGGATGAAGTTTTCTAAGCCCGCAAATTTGTAGGCCTCGCGGGACGGATCTTTGCGGGACTGGGTTTTTAACAGGATGGGCCGAAACGGATCCGCGGGATTACAAGGACCCACATTTTTTTCTTTATTTTTTGTGTTACCTAAAACCGGGAGAAAGAGTAAGAAGAAGACGATTCATGTGACTTTCCCTAATAAAACTTAAGGAGCACAGACGATGATGATTATTCGAGTTTTGCTGATAGTGATACGAACTCTGGGGATGACGACTACTGCTCTGCTCACTAGTATGATTTCTGATTCCGTTATATCCCACTTGAAAATCTGTTATAAAGCCAATGTTTAAGTAATTATAGTCTGCCTGTAAAAGACTGGTCAATCATTACTCGTCTGCCCGGGAAAAAATTTCAAATTTCAAAACTAGGGTTATTGGATATATCCACACTTCGACTATTCCGTATCACTCAGAATAGAAGCTAACGAACTAATTTTTGTGTTGTACTCTCAGACACAAAATAAAATAAAAAATTAACCATTACTATTCTAAGTGGGAGACTTTTTCTTCTCTTTGTTCTTTGATGTCTGCTCTTTCTATAATGCTAACAAACCATTTTATAGAAAACATCACAAGTTTCATCTTCAACATAGAAATGCAATTTCCATGGTGTACTAATGGAGACTTTAATTCTTGTCATTTAGTGAATTTATTCCATACTTTGACCAAAAAATTAAAAAATAAAGTTATTATTATTTGACCAATTCAAACAAATAATATACTTTAAAATGATTTTTTTTATATTTTATCAATATAAATATCAACATTATTTGGTTTATAAGATTAAGTTAATGAACACGAAGTCTAACTAACAAATCAAAACTCAAATCCAATCAAATATCCAATGTGTGTATTTGTTGCTTTGTACACGTTTCTCAGACCACACAAACTGAACATCTATTTCTTATTCAAATAAAATCATTTTTGACATATGGAAACACTACTCATAATGTTCAAAAAATAGTTCCAACACTAATTTGTATAACAACTCTATAAGATCATTATATTATAATGACATGGACCATTTGATATCATGATATTACATTTTGTTGCCAATAAGAGGGCGTTCAATAAGTTTACCGAAGAACAAACATCATTCAATATTATAGTTCATCCATACGAAAATACGAATTATATCGTCGGCCTTGGCATTTTTGTATTTAATCTTTGAGTATTTCATAAATGAAACTAAGTAGCACGAAAGAAATAAAAAAAACAAAACAAAAAAACAACTAAGTAGCCTAGATGATTTTTTTCTTTCTTGAAACACAAGTAGCATGGTTGAATATTCGAAAGACCAACTACTAAGGACAATTTTATTCTTTTTTTTGTCAAATGGCTATTCCATTACTCAAAGTTGAGGTGATCTTGAAAACCAGACCAGAACTAAACAATCAGAAGTACATATTCCAATGAAAGGATCTGGCTATCTTAACTAATGAATCAGATGATACATTTTCAAAACAAGGAATAAAAACAAGCGAGAACTCCAAGAATCTACTATTTAGCTTCCCCATCGCCCTTAACTCACTGGAAAAATTAGGCCATGCTTCGGGGTCTAGAATCATCAAGACTAGATCCTTACCATCGGTGTCAAAAGCCTGACACGTTGATAGATGTAGCATACACCCCACTGCCCATAAAAAGTGACTCAAGTTCCGAGTGAAGTGGTGAGATACTTTGTAGTTGGTTTTTGGCTCCCATTAATTTTGTTACTCCTAGTGAATTTGTCCATGTCAATCCATAGCCACTAAAGAGTGAGTCATGCATCCCTGATCCATCTACCATGCATCTCTCAGAGGTTTGTGCTTGTTCTGAGTGTTGTGTTTTCGCTGGTTCTTCCTCTCTACGGTTAGCTTTTAACCAAGCATGGCATTCTGACTCAGCATGTCGAACTGTTTTCAATGGGTCCCAGTATATCCCTGTAAATATTTTATCATTTTTTGCTTTCCAAATGTACCATATAATCCACGAGTATAAATCTCTATCTAGGTCAGGATCTTCGATATCATTCTTTCGCCGAAATAGATAGTCCATATTTGTGAAGTGACTTGCGTTGGGGAACACTAATGGAAAATTTGGGATTGCTTCAAGTTCCCAAGTCTGTTGAGCTGGGGGAATTCAAAAATGGCATGATTTATAGTTTCATCCTCTGCGCTACATCTGGGACAGTGGTTATCGTATCAGATACAACGATGTGTCAAGTTTCTTTTCACTGCTAATTGTCCAGATATCAATTGCAAAATATGATATTGATTTTTGGCAGACCTTGTATCTTCTAAGTAAAGGCTTATAATCTGTGTATGTGTTCATGTCTTAAGGTTTGCGAGCTAAATGCTATTGTTTTCCTTTCAAATAATGATTTATGCCACTTTAACTTGAAAGTTCTATAAAAAAAGTATACAAATCTAAATTATTGTTAGATAAACTGTAAGTATATGTTACTTGGCAGTCGAAATACCCAGAGTCTACTCCATTGCTTGATACGATCTTAGAAAGTTTTCTGTCTCGGTCTGAAGCTTGGGACAAAACCAGTCATCACGAAGTGGTAAAGTTTCAAATGAGTTACTAATCTCGAAAGTATGCACTATTTTCTCTACCTATGCATTATAAATAATCTTCATATTACTAATCTCTTCTGCGTTTATAAATTTATCATGTAAGCTCTCTTCCCTTGTCGTTTTTGCAGATTATAGATGCTGCAAACAAAGTAATAAGCAGTGTTGATGACCACTTGTTGTTCAAATTAGAATTTGAAGAAAATTTAGAAACCAATAAATGATGCAGCAAAAATTGAGGTTAAACCAAACATGTTTCAAGCTTACAAGGCTGTAACCCTTTTAGTTTTCGCATCACAAGTCACTCCCTTCCCGCTACACAGATCAGGATCCTCTGAACTCCACTGACTTAAAGCACCATCAGAACTAGAAATTCCACTTCTTAAGCTCTGAAGCGCCTCACTTATCAAACAAAAGGAGCAAAATGGGTTGAAACCCTACAGCAGATTGGGCTGTAATCATAGTTTCGTCAAACAAAATAACAAATTAAGTTACAATTACCTAACCAAGCCGAATAACAATACGAAACAACCCAAAAAACAAATTCAAAGCTTCTCTATTGCGATGCCAACGTATCAACTAAAGATCAATGAATACACGAAAGGCCGACAAAACTGTTGTAAGCAAATCTCTCATAAATCACACTTTAGAACAACTATCATTTCTCAATCTCACAAACAAAAACGCTATATATCGACATGAATAGAGGAATATCGTGATAAGTATCCGGAGGACAAATGAAAAAAAATGGTTTATTCAGATATAGAGAAAAACAATAAAGTAAAAACCCAGTACATTTAAAAACCAGATTTCTTAACCCATTTTTACTTTATCATGGGTCATAAATCAATACCAATTTCTATTTTTGGTTTACCATTTCAAAATTTTTTACACCCTCAAACAAATATCTAAATAAAATCCAGTAACAAACCTAAAAACTAATAATCGTATAACAATATGCTATTATAAATTTCTAGAATTACTACTTGATAAAAATATAGTTTAAAACATTAGATATTATTTTAAATAAATTTCAGGTAGAATAAAAAAGTAATATATTTACTGTCCGTATAAATTGTTAAATTTTAAATTAAAATCTAAAATATTTTCCTTTACAATATTTGAGTTGTATACTAACAAATATCTAAGTTGGGTGACTTTTGAACAGTGAAACTTCTAAGAATACTAATTGTCAATTAAATCATTACACAGATACAATATATAAATACTTCTACATATGAATCCGTTGATCATTCTTATATTAACCTAATCAAACTTTGTAACTTCCATTCTTCTATTCATAGACAATTATATATAACACAGGAAAACAAAAAAAAATATTAAAAAAATAAAGATAAAATCATAATACCAAAATAACACATTGCATCAACAATGTACCTGCGCTATGTCCCATAAGTAATTAATCAGTCGAGTCGGAAAAAAAAAGGTAATTAATCAGTCGTTGCCACCAGATAACCATCTTTTTGATGGGCCTTTGTTTTAACGAGGATTGGGCCTTCATTAGTTTTCTTTTTCTAACGATTATTTTATTTGTATAGAATGTAACATTACAAATAAGATAATAAAGATATAACCAACTGCAAATTTAAATAAAGAAAATACAATATAACACATAGAATAATATTGAAGAAGTTTCATGAACCATCTTCTTCGATATTAAAATTTTCGATGCGATTGTCTTTAACAATCAAAGAGTCGATGAAATTTTGAGTTTTCCTTTGCAATTCTCTTTGTTGTATTACATTGGTCTTATTCCAATTTAAAACTATAGATATTCTTTGGTTTAGAATCCAATATATTGATTCAACCATAAGAAATAAAAATTGGAAACACCAATCTTTGACGATTGTACGAATATCGCCATACAACAAAGAGATAATCTCTTTCACTTCGTATTATTGCTTTTTCCTTA